GCGCGGCAGACGCGCGAGAGTGGCTCGCATGGTATTATTTGACACGGATCGTGCCACTCCAGCACGCGTGCAAGGGCGTTCGAACGATTTCGAAATTCGCGCGCGCGAACCCTGTTTGGTAGCATTTTGTGACAGTGTTGAAAGACTCATGGTTTTCTTAAGAATTCGCAAAAGCGCGCACACTTTTGTGTTATATATGTGTGTGCGTGTGTGTATGTGTGTGCTTTTGTGTTATCTATGTGTGTTTTTGGACAGTGAAGTTTGAAAACCTTCCGAAACCGAGAGTTTTTGAAGGATTTCGGTATGCGCGCGCGGCGACGCGCGCGTGTGCACTTCGTCCTTTTTTTACAGAAGGGTTCTTGACAACTTATAACGTTTGATAGACGAGTGTGCGCGCATGTTTTTTTTTTTTTTTTTTTTTTTTTTTTTTTTTTTTTTTTTTTTTTTTTTTTTTTTTTTGTTTTTTTTTCTTCTTCCGAAAGAGCCGAGGGGGGGCCGATGCCGGCCTGGCCGAGATGGGATGAATTCACAGGTCGGGTGGACATTGGGTCAGAATCTCAATATTTTGCATCGGTTCCCGGGGGGTCGATAAGTCCGGGGGAGGGGGTGGTGGTGGAGCGTATCTCCATTCTTTTGAAAAAAGACAATGCAGGTGGGGCAATATCGGCGGTGTAGGCTATGTGGTGCAATATGTTTTTGGTCATGTATGTGATGCAGTGTACGTGGTGCAATCACCTGCCCTGCTCCGCGCGTGACCGCCCCCCGTGCTCGCGCAGTCATCTCTCTCCCGCCCGCCCGCCATTTGGTTGCAGGGCCTCTGCGGCGACGACGGCGGTGACTGCTTGGCGCTGGCGGGCGCGTCGCTACGACCGCGCTCGCGCGCGCAAGCTCGCGCGCAGAGCTAGTCTGGCGCGACCGACGCGGCCGTGGTGGCGCTGGCCGCCGGGGATTTCCCCAGCGCGTCTCGCAAGACGCGCTGACGCGCGCGCGCCTCAATGCGAGGCGGTGGCTCCGGCGGGCGCTGTATCGTGGCGACGTTGACAGCGGCAATCGCGATGATGATGGTTGCGATGGTGGTGGCGATGGTGGCAATGTCGCCGGCAAGGCCACCGGCGGCACCGATGCTGACCGTGCCGATGACAGCGATGGTATCCACGTGTCGGTGATGGAGGTTTCGGAAAGATTTCGACGCGCGCGGGTGGCCCGCGTGGTATAAATTTGTCAGGGATCGCGCCCCCCCCCCTCCCCCCCCTCCCCCAGCGCGCGAGGGCGTTCGAATGATTTCGAGGCGCGCGCGCGAGAGGCACGTTTAGTCGCATGGAAACCAATGGCTTCTCAAGAGTTTGCGAGAGCTCACGCGCAAACTTTTTCAGAAACGCCACGTGGCAAACCAACTTCGTGCGGGACATGTATTCGGAGCGCTCGATTTCGATATCTGTGCAACCAGAAAAACCAAAGGTTTTCAAACCTTTCGGCATGCGCGCGACGACCCGCGCGTGTGCGCTTAGTCCCGTCTTGTGCAATTTGTTATTGAAGCCCTGCGTTTTTGGATAAACGATTGTGCGCGTACCGGGGGTGTCGAATCGGTCGGGCCTGGGTAGGATGGGATGAACTCATGTCAGCGATGGGCGATGGGACAAGATCACATGTAAACTGCAGTGCACGGGGCCAGCTGGACAATCACGGGGTGTGGGGTTGATCCCAATTCTATTTCAGATAGGAGAACCTGTGGTACAACGTGTCTGGTGTAGACTATGTGGTGTCGACTCCACTGCTCGCGCAATCATCCCACCCGCCCACCCGCAACTTAGGCTTGCGAAACCCATGCGGAAGCGATTGCGATGAATGCTTGGTGTTGGCAAGTGCATGTGTGCGGCTGGGCTGACCCGAGCATGCGCGCGCGCAGCGGCAAGCTAGTTTGGCGCGACCGAGGCGAACGCGGTGGCGCTGACCCGCTCGGCGCATCCCAGCGGGCATTTCGGTGCGAGTCGGCGACTTGGGCAGGCGTGGTATCATGGCAACGTCGACGCCAGTAGACACGATGATGATGATAGTAGCAGTACTGGTGACGATGCTGACAGCGGCGACGCCGCTGCTGGTAACGCCGCCGAAGATGACGGCGTCTTCACGTCGGTGATGAAATGGTAGAACTTATGGTTCCCAATCAGTGCTTGCACTGAAGGGGTCCTGGCGCAAGTTGGAAGATTTGGCGAACATTTCTCGCCGATTTTGGTAACAAGCTGGGTTCCTGGGTTCCCAATTCCGGGTTCCCGGGTTCCTGGTTATTGGTTCCGGGCCGATTTCGGTAGGTTCTGGGTTCCCGGGTTCCCGGGTTCCCGGTCGATCTCCTCAGCGAAAACCATCCATGGGGCTTTTCTCTGGTGGAATAATTTTCTTGAATACTCGCAAGAGCGCGAGCGACTGAAGGAGTCCCAGCGGAAGTTGGAAGATTTGGCGGACATTTTCTGCCGATTTTGGTAGCAGGCTGGGTTCCCGAGTTCCCAGCTCTGGGTTCCCAAGTTCCCACTTCTGGGTTTCCCGCCGATTTCGGTGGGCGGCGGGGTTCCCGGGTTCCGGGGAGCCTGGTCGATCTTCGTATCGATCGGTCTCACCATTGATCTCGCTACTAACTTCTCGATCGATCTCAATATCGATTTCACTATAGATCGCACGAACGATCTCACGATCGATCTCACTATCTATCTCGTTGAGTCGACTTCACTGCAGGTCTCACGATCGACCTTACAATCGTCCTCGCTATCCAGTCCACTATCGAAATCACAGTCTATCTTAACGATATCACTGATTCCCACACCATCCTCTGATTGGGGTCATCTCTGGTGTTGCGAAACCACGTGTTTTCTTTATATGCTTTTTTGGACAGAAATCCTTACGACACTGAGAATTTTGGAAGGATTGTGGCGTGCGCGCGCGACGACGCGCGCGTGTGCATTTCGTCGCGTTTTTAGCAAAAAGGCTCTTGTCAACTCGTGACTTTTGGCAAGCGGGTGCGCGCGCATAAAACGTCTTGCAGAGGATGGCGAGGTGGGCGGATGTCGGCGTTGCTGGGATGGCGTGACTTCCTGTTTCGGATGGGCGACGGGGCAGAACCATATACATTGCAACACGACAAGGGGGACAGATACTCCCAGGGGGGGGGTCGAGTCTATTCTGTTTTCAGAAAGGAGGATCTATGTTGAGCGGTGAACTCTACGAGGCTCGCACAAGCAAACATTGCGACCCGAATGCGGCAGCGACGGGCGGCGACAAGCGGCGACGGGGCGGCCACAAGCTGGCCGTGGCGGCACACCAGCCCAGCGCCCTGTAAGACAAGTAAGGACTTCTGAGTACAAGCACAGTTTGCGGAAATAGGAGGCCTCGATTTGTCGTTGATGATCTTGCTTTCGCTGTTTTACGTTGCTTGTGTTTGATGAGTCCTTTCTCTGGCTGCCTCCGCCTCCATCTGCTCCCATCCTCTCCCCTTCACCTCTGCCCTTCCGCCGACCAGTACCAGCAGCAGTGTGCTGCAGATGGTCGTTGCATCTTTCGCCAACGCATCCTTGACCTCCATAACTTCTACTTCCGTGTCTCTAAGTCTGGTGTACCTAGGATCCCCAAGCTTGGTGCCTCGATTCTCTCGTGACCGAGGAAGTCTCTTCACGTCTCCAGAAATCCCCAGAAGTCTGCAGAGCTCACTCCCCCAGAACATTTTTGGAAGTACCCAGATGACTCCACAGGCCCCCAGAAACCTCCCGAGGCCAAACAGAAACAGGGACCTCCCAAAAACACCTAAACAATTCCAGCTACGAGCCGTGACAGACATCGATCACCAAGAGGGTGGGCAGCACGTGTAACCAGGGGCGCCGATCTCCATCGTACTCGACGTGGATCCCCCCCGGGCCATCCTCTCCTTCTCTTTGGTCTCTCTCCCAATCCGAACATGAGGGCTTGCACGACCCTTGAAGTCCTGAACCCCTTCTTGGGGGCAGTTCTGCGTCTCGGGTCCACTGTTGTTTCGAAACCTGGAGCGGGACCTCAGGAATCGAAATCGAGGAAAGACCGCATTGACTGCATGCGGCAAGGTCGTTTCGTGACGACCTCGTCGCTGGTGTCTGACACTGCCAGGATCTTTCACTATTGAGCGAACGCGGCTCTGTGGCAACAGCTCCGAGCCACTAGCGGCGTTCAACCTTCAATGCCCGCGCTGGGGTCGCCGCCGCGTCGACACGACACGCCTTCTCTTCTGAGCTGTGGCTGCCTATGCGGCCCCACTCTCAACCGGCCAACCTCTTTTCTACAGCATTATGCCTGGATAGATCGCGGAGGGCTGAAAAAAAGGTTAGAGGAGAAGCCGTCCAGATGGGTGTCCCAGGAAGCCGGAACACAGCCATGGCTGGATCCACATGTGGAGGATCCGGAGGCCACGCGCGGGATGCGCGTGCCGAAGCCCTGCGAAACTGGCCACAGAGGCAGCGAACGCTGGAAAAGACATCTGGCCACATGTGTATCCACTTCTCGCCCAAGCCGGCCGCGCCGACGGTCGTCGACGCCCGGTGGTTTTCGGGTCATAACTCGGACCTCCTGCGGCCGTTCGGGACGATCCAAGCCACCACGGAAAGCTCTCGACACGGCGCAGCTGCTAGAAAACATCTCGTGGCAGGACACCCTCCAAGAACCAACGAAACTTCCAACGGTCCCCCTCCTGCCAGTCAGGGCACGAGCCTGCCGTAAAAATCACGAAGTTGAAGCTCTCAGGCCCGAGCTGGATCGCATCGCGAAAGCGGATCGGGTCGAAAATAAATCGGATCGCCAAAGAATCGTCCCGAATCGAGTCGAAACTGGATCGCCGCACCTGGCTCTGGGTGGCACTGGCCGATGCTGGAGAATCGGTCTGCATCGAATCGAATCGGAATTGTGGTCCCCGCCAGCGAATCGAATCGCAGCGCATCGGATCGTAGGCGGCCCCGGCTCTTGGAAAATCGCACTGCTCCCATGCGGACCGAGCGCCCTCGGCAGCGGCAGTGGTGTCGCCCGCTCCGCCAGGCACTGGCGGCCCTGGCGGGGCTGCCGCCGGGTTGGCCGAGCTCGCCGCCTCGCGGCGGCCGGGGAGGAGGGATCCTCTCTTTTTCTTCTTCTTCTTCTTCTCCTCCTCCTCTTCCCCCTCCTCCTCCCTCGGTCTTCCTCTCCTTCTCCTCCTCCTTCCCCCGCCCCTCCCGCAGGAGGGTTATCCATTGCTCTCCTCCAGATATCGTCAGCTCCTCGCCGCTGATGGCCTCCAGGTTCACTGTGGCAGTACCGCGCTGCAGTGGCACGGGCGCTGCAGCAGAGCAAGCACGCGGGGCGACCCGCACGCTCCCGGATGCCCCTGATGCAAGTCAATCGGCAGTGGCTGCGGCACCAGTGCGATGCAGTGCGGTGGTGGCGCCAGTGCGTCTGGGATCGCTCGCCCCCCCCCCCACCTCCACACTGTCCGTGTAAAGCATCTGTATCACCAGCGCTGCAAGGCATCCCGCGCGCGAGGAGAGCACCGCGTGCCTGCCCCTCGAGCCATACACGCAGTCGTGCCGACGCGCGCGCGCACGAGTGTGCCCCGCGCGTGCGCGGCACTGGACGGTGGAGGTGCCCGCACGGGCTGCTGATCGCTACCCTGCACACTGGATAGGCAAAACTTGAAGACAGAAAAACAAAACACATGATCACCAATAACAGCAAACAACGTGTTTTTTTTTGTGGTTTTGTTATGTATATGTATAATGTTTTTGTTTCAGCTTTCCAAGCATTTTTACATATGTTTGTTGTTTCAACTTTTGGTGTACCCTTCTGAAGAGACGCCCGCCGAGGCCGCGGGCGCTGCCAGGCCGCCCCGTGGCGGCGGCGGCGGCGTCTGTGGCGGCGCTGGCCCCTCCGGCTTCACGGAGAACTCCTCCTCGGCACCCCCCCTTTTTCTTGGTCTGCTCCATCCCCTCGTCCTCCTCTCTCTGATTTGCTCTGCTCGTCCATCCTCTCGTTCTCCTCGTTTTTTTTTTTTGCTCTGCTCTTCTTCTTCTTCTTCTTATTGTCATTATTGTTATTATTGTTGTTATAATAATAATGATGATGATTATTATTATTATTAATATTATTGTTATTGGTATTTTAGTATTATTATGATTATGATTATGATTTTTATTACTATTATTATTATTATTATGATTATTATTATTATCATTATTATTATTATTAGTATTCGTATTATTATTATTATTATTATTAGTTTTTGTTCTTTTTGTTAGAACTCCTCCTCGCCCCCCCGCCCCCCCCTTCTGCTCCATCCCCTGTCCTTACACCTCCGCCACCGTGTGCCGCTGGGCAAGGAATGGGCGTGTCCTCAGGTCCTTGGCCCAGTCCTCCAAGCCTGAATCCCCACTCTTGAAGGGTCTTCGAAGGGCCCGGACCCCTCGCTCTTAAGTCTCCCCGGCTTCCCGCGTGCCCCCCGGGCTTTGTCCAGGGGGCCCCAAGAGGCCCCCAAGAGGCCCTGAAGAGACCCCAAGAGGTCCCCAAGAGACGCCCCAAGAGGCCCCCAAACGGCTCTCAAGAGGCCTCCGAACTACCTTCAAGAGGTCATCGAGAAGCCTCCAACGAGATCCAAACGAACGAACATCCAATACGCTTCATACCCACAACCCAGGCACGGTGGCGGGTTGGGTCGAAGGCCAGATCTGCCGCCCCCTGTGGTCTTGCCACATGGGTGCCCAGCGTGCTGGATGTTCGGAGGTTTGTGGTTCTTCTAGAACTCCCTCTGGGGCTTCGGCCGATGCCGCCGGCCAACCAGAAGGCTGCGTTCGAGGTGGCTGCAAAGGCTTTTCCTGGTCTTGATGGCTCCAAGATGGCCCCACTTTGCCTCCAAGACGGCCAAGATAGCTCGCAAGTTTGCTCAAGATGGTCCCAGAGGGCCTCCAAGACGGCCCAAGAGCGTCCTACATGTCTCCAGGTTCGCCCAAGAGGCCTCCAAAAGGTGCTCCAGGAGGGCCCGACGAAGCAAACATCGTTGATTTTCCTTCGGTTCTTGATGGATTTCGGTATTTGCATCGTTTCGGCCTTCCGACGGTCCAAGACGTCCGAAGCGGCCCCCAAGATTGCCCCAAGATGGCCCCGAAGGCCTTCAAAGTGTCCTCATGACGGCCCAGGAAGCCTCCGAGACGGCCCCAAGAGAGCCCCAAGACGGGGGCCTCGTGGGCACGTCTTGGGCCGTCTTGGGGCTCATCTGGACCGTCTTTAACCCAAGATGGCCCCATGAAGTCTCCAAGACGGGCCAGGATGCTCCTTAGATGGCCTAGTGATCGCCTAAGCGGCCCCAAATCCCCCAAGAGGACCTCTGAGAAGAGCCGAAGAGGCCCAAATCAGTGATTCCCCCAAGACTGTCGAAGGATTCGGGTGTGTGCTCTTTTCAAGCTTCCCGACGACCCAACACGGCCCCAGAGGCCACCAAGATGGCCCCAAGAGCGCCCAAGAGGCCTCCGAGATGGCCCCCTGACGGCCCAAGAGGCCCCCGAGAAGGCCCCTAAGAGGGCCCCAAGGCGGCCCAGGAGACCTCCAAGACACCCGAGATGGCCTCCAAGACGGCCTTGAAGGGCCCCAAGGAGCCCCCAAGTCGGCCTGGAGGCCCCCTAAGACGGCTTCCGACGGCGTCAGGCCAGCCAGGAACGCCCTCCGGCGGCCAAAGAGCCTCCCACGGGGCCTCCAGAGGCCCCCACTCGTCCCAAGGAGG